AATATTGAGGGACTAGTGAAGAATATTGGAAACGAGACCTCAAAGGCCTTCCATCAAGAAATTACTACGAAGATCGCATGTATGTAGTGTCCAAGARTTTGATACACTCTTRCAAGGCACCACTGAAGTTTACTACGTATACGGAGGCTAGCCTTTGAGAAATTGTTTTTAATACCTTGTCCCCAGTGCCCTGGTCGGCAACCGTGACATATYGTGCCATTTTTGAAAGTTGTGAAATGAAAATCTTTGGTGTCAAGCTTACCTATTGCATGCGGCGAGACAAGGTGAGTAAAACCCACTGAGAAAGACACAAGGACAAGAGGGAACATGACCCACACAATGTACTGTACAAACACATTCTTGGGGAGTTTGTACAACCAAATATGGGCTGAAATGACAAATGTGCATCACAGTTATTACCTTGGTTCACCTGAAACTTTATTAGAGTGCATATATGTACCACAAAAGAGTGAAATATTTCTAATCAACAACTAAAAGCTATAGTTATCAACTAACTAAGAATTCACTTGGGCATGAACACAATGAARGGTGTCAAAAATCCAAGCCAGAGCCTTTGGCTGAATGAGTCCGATATTTCGGCAATTGCAAACTTCTGAGCCAAAAGCAATTTTAAATCCAAGCCCCTCTTTTTAGCACTGAGCTTGCGAACCTTGGGAAATTTTTGGCAAGCCTCATGATTTCTGTGACATCATGCTATACCCCTACAATGCCAGAAATGAAACTGCCATTGTTTATGCCTTACCAAATTCTTAATTTGTTGATAACTAAATGTTATCAGGCGCTAATTAGCTAAGAATGGTTTCACACTTTTGTGGCATGCACTCTACAAACATCTTCTGTTGTTACTAACAGTTACAGGTTCACAGCAGATGTTTGGCAACTTTTGGATTAATTCTTATATGCAAGCATCAATATAATTAATAATTGATGTTTTTTTCAAAGCCAAAAATAGAAAAAAATATATAAATTTGTTAAATGAAAAAAAATTTGAAATTCCAAGAATATGATGCAACCTAAAAGCTTTCTATAACACCAAAAACACAGTCTGATGCATATTGTGTATACATGCTGTTTAACAATTAGACCTCGAGGTCGAGTGGACTACGAGCTAATAGCCCATGAGGCCGAGTCCGCAAGGCCGAATGGGCTATTAGCTCGTAGTCCACGAGGCTAAGAGGTCTAATTGTTTTAGTATAAACATTTTCCCGCGAGTGGTCGATCACAAATTAGACCATTAGTAGAGTAGCCAATCACAGCGCAGTATGAGTGATAGACCATTAGTATGTTTATACTAATATGTGTTATCATGATTGCAGCAATTCAAATCATTACCTGATTGACATTTGTCAATGGCCAAATCTAATACAAAGCTAATCAAGGCCATAATAAGACCAAGTAAAAACAAAAACACCCAATCACTACCAAGACGTATCCAGCATGGTCTCATACGATGAATAAACCCTAAAATGATAGAAAAGAAAAGTTATATTTTACAGGTGGGAAAAATCAATATTAAATGAATACACATCACATACAATGATTATTGAACAGTTCCTGGTCAGCGTGCTAAGCATGGAAAAAAGCTTAAAAGTTGCATTACCTTTATATCGATATTATTTATTAGCATTCTTTACATAAAAATCAGGTATAAACTAAGGTTTATGCATGTGACCAAATTCTACGTTTGCCTAATTCCAGCTTTCGCCTATTAGCTCATTTTAAAATAGAAATAATAAAAATAAATAAAATAATTAAAAATAATAATAATAATTAAAATTATGTATGAATACAATAATAATAATAATAATAATTAAAATTATGTATGAATACGTATTTTTGAATACGAAGCTAAAAGATGACTTTTTGAACTCAAGCTTTGCAGGGCATTGCATCTGCCTGTTCAAATCTGCAATTATTTTTTGTCCGGAAGAGCATACTACATAAACAATAAAAATGGACTGATTGATATGAAATATTTTTTAAAAGAACATTCAAGAAAGACAGCATACAGGTATAAGCATGAAACACAATTACATACTTTTTATTGACCCCAATCTTGTGTCTTGATAAGCTTTAAGGTCATCATCATCTTGTTCTGCTTGAATTCTTTTTCTGTCTTTCGATTCTCTTCTAAGCCTTGCAGCTTGGTCCTTAGCATACTTCTGAAGCTGGGTTGTTGTGAACTGGCCATACATCTGAATTAAACRTAAATACATGTACTTAACAAATTGCGCACAGTTTTGAGATGTAAGTCCTCTTATTGACACAGTCATGATGTCATATATTGGTCAAAACACACCTATTTCAAAATTTGTCAGTGAGAACAGCAAACGGCCATTGTCAAAGGGAAATTGCATGACCGAAAGGAACTATCATGATTACACAGTTTTGACAAACAAAATTTCACTTATTTGATACATCTTACATAGAAAATGGAAACAAATGGAGTCAATGTTTATCACAGACTTACACTATCTTACATTATTAAATCAGTTYTCATTTCTCATCAGTTAGCGAAACCCATGGCTACTTGAGGTCATGCAATTATTGAACGACAATTGACATTCGCCATTTTATCCGACAACCTACTTTTTTTAAAATAGGAATATATTGAGGTATAATTTAAACCAGAAGTTTAGAGGGAAAAAAATACATTTATTAAATTAAATAGAATACCAGAGCACTTTTCATCAATGCAATGCATATGTTTGCACCTCTGTAGACTTCAAATACTTAAATAATTCAACAGCACATTTTCCTTTGATCTCATTTGTGTGCAGAGTTGACCATGTGATACATATAGTGTCCAACACAGAGTTGTACTATTAGYGCATTGCACATTTGAAAATTTTGTAGTTGAATAATAAAAAAAAAAATAAGAGCAGTTTATAGCTAGGGCTACTATTTGTTTTTCAGAACATAAAGTTTTTCTTAGCAACAATCAGCATACTGCCCTTGATTCAACTAGTGTTGTATTTTTTTAAATAGAAATAAAGAGGAATTTATAGGGCTTAGAAAGGATATTCCCAGATAAATCCTTGGAAATAAATTCCAAAATTTAAATATTTTTTGACCCCGCTGGGATTTGAACCCATAACCTTCGGATTTGTATTACCGATGCTACAGCATCAGCCTGAGAGCAGATAGCGATGAAATACGGTAGAGTTGTTATTTTGTCCAGAATAATCTCCTTACTTTATATGAATATCTGTTTCGTATCCATAGAGACCATGTTAAATTCAGGCAATTTATATCATACAGACATGTAGTATAGTAAATAACGTTGAAAATTATGATTCTTGCATTAATGTCACTCAAGATTTGCATAATGAAACATAAATAAAGTAGAGACGAAACCGTTCAAGAAATGTTAGAACTGTCTCGATCTTTTAAGATAATTGAATGTTATTTAAACTTAAAATTAACTTTTTTTAGTTAAAAAGGAGTCATGTACATGTACTTGTAATATAAATCACATAAAATATTGCAGAAAAAAAAATTATGAACTTGATTTAGAATTCAGATCGAGTTTTTAATGGTCACTTTTTAATTGAAATATATATATAGTAAACTTAATGAAGTAGTAGTAAATACAATATATTTCTACATTTTATAGATACTATTACTYAATTCTATCTGCATAACGTATGAATACACGTTCGATATTGCTTCTGCGTATAAAAACATTACAAATTAGAGAAATGGAATCTTGGCACGGCTCACTCAGATCATCTGTCACAGGTCTCTGCTAAATAGATCGATCATTTTCATGKGGTAAAACTAAGCTGCAATAATACTCCACTTACCAAAGTCTGCTCGTAGCCATACTTTTCATTTTCACCCATTTTRGGTCCGTTAAATGGTTAAAAATCTAGATTAAAGTGCTTTAAAAGTGGACAATATGCTCTTCTATAATCACGACATTTTAAACATGGTCGAATGGTAAAGTCTGTCWGCCGCTGACCATCACAGTACACAGGAAACCCAATTTTGTTTTGTTTGAAAGTAATAACCGGAAATGCTTTTTCACAGAATTACTTTCTTCCCTTGTTGGTTTATCCAAATTGCTCTTTAAAACATTCTTAAAATGCTTATTTTCATTCCTTTTTTTTTCTACATATCATTGCTGAAAGGTTTCCCTAGATATATCATATTTTTGGAAAGTTTCCATGGTATCTTGACATGCGGTGAAAACATCCAATCTATTGTCATGATCACAACAAAGAACAGTGCAGTTAATCTAGGGTATATTCAACAGCAGAAATATAATCCCGCCAGTTTTATTCTGGTGTTAACTGCTGCTAATTGAAGCTCAATTATTTATTCATTTATTATTTCAGCCGGTTGCTTCCAACCATACTATACATGTATCCTCAATCTTAGTCACCGGACAGCACGGGAGGGGTGGGGGACGACTCCCTAATAAGAAATGGCGGGGATCCCCGTCGGAAATTCTGAAAATGACCCCTAAAAGGGACCTGTATTTTGAGATGATGGRCGTGGAAGTGCTGAAATTATGTCACTCCTAAGAGGGACCAATCAATAACATGTCGTTTTGTTTTGGTTTCCCGATTTGATTTGATTTCTTTTAT